ATGCTTTTAAAGGATTCTGAGCCCTTGGTACCAGAAATTCTATGGATCGATAAACTTTGTGAAAAATAAAAATTCTCCTCTCTTGCCTTATCATGTCATCATTCATTAATCATGCGAGACTGGATAGGTACTTACTTTAATCATATGCAACAAGTCGCCAGCATCGGCCAATTCAAGAACAATTACCAGTTCGTTGTTCTCCACAAAAGAAGCCAAATAACTGATCACGTTTGGGTGATTTAGTTGCTGGAACGTGAAAGCAGATTAATTGAGTTGTAACCAGATCCGTTAAAAAATCTTATCACAGTCGTAAAAAACAGACGTCAAGCAGTGGGATCCAACACTATTTGTAGGAATAAATGGTTGATTTTGTGAGTGATGATCAGTGAGTGTCAGGCAGAAAACTATATCAAAATTGAGATCAGAGTTGAGCATTCAGATACTCTACATTTCCTTGTGAATGAAGAATGAAGACGGACATTCGTGGTCTATCAAATTCACGATTATAACTACGGTTACTTGTGAGTAGTATTGTCGTACAAACAACAAACATTATGTGGACCCCAGGTACAAGCCTTTGTTAGATTTAATTCAACACTCCCACATTTTCTACCCAAATTCTCAGATAGTGCAATGGGGTTCTCGGTTGGAACACACTCTTTTAGAATTTTTCTGCTGATTGCTCTTTGACTCCCAACCATATGTGTCCATGGTTCAAGTCCAAACAGGAACAAGGTATTTAAAGGCCGTTCGTGATTTGAGGTATATCGACTTAAAGGACTTAATTGATTGCGATGTGCATTTGACGCAGTTCCATTAAAACACCCATCAGTTACCTTCTTTTCTGGGCTTGTTACGCTTCTCACAACCCCGTGCCTTGTTTGAAATTCTATTCGAGAGATTACACTTTTACCACTTACAAAGCCAATCAGATTGCATATTTTTCGGGGAAATTTATTCCTCACAATTTCGTAAGTTACCTATAGATTCTCTTGTTTACAGCCACTATGCTGAGATATACTCTGGAGAAGAAAAATGGTTTATTCGTTGAATTGTCTGTTTTGCCAAATTCCAAATCTGAAACACTTGGCAAATCATGCAGCCAGTCTTATCACACATTGTAAAAACAAGTTTAAACCTTTGAGATAATCCAGCGTCTATTATTCCTCTACTGGTTAGTTTGTGTGGTACTCACACATGTTATCCTGTTTCCCATTGCTATTTTTACTGCTACTGTTATCATTCTTATTACTATTATTAGTATTATTATTATTATTGCCAACACCTTACATAAAGTCATTGGTGTCAACTCTCATTTATCCGATCGATCACCGATAGCATACTCGCAAATCCGAATACAAAATCAATGCGTTTTACATTGCTGGATGAAATCGAACAGTTATAATAACGACCCTAAGTAATCCGACTCCAATACCATCGCCGTACCACATATATGTAGTATCCTAGAAAATCCTTATTAGCTGAACTCCCGCCCTCCCCCCCCCCCACACACACCCTCAACCCTCTTCTGAAAACTTTCCGGGCATTCAGTCCATACATAAAGATGGAGCTGAAAGTTTATGCTCTTATTAATTCTGTCCATTACAAAAATAATGAAAATTACCTTTAAAAGATCAATCTCCTGAATGCAATCCTTTCGGGCTTTGGCATCCATCATTTCAAAAATCTGTGAGAAATCGGGACGGGGGGGGAACCGGAAATGTCTACATATTTTGAACCAAGAAACTCACTTCCAAGTTCACAACAGAAAACCATATACACAACACAGAATCGGAATATAAACATGGTCATAATAACGGCAAAGAAAAATTTAAAACTAAAAAATGCATGCATCAAACAGCGCAACAAATAGAATGAGTTTAAATAACTAAACATAACGAATTATGTAATTAATCTAAGGGGGGTTTTCTTTTAAAAATTCTTGTAGGAAGTTCGTAGTTCAGCTCACTGATGCATACGTATCCAAATCTGATTCCATTACTCTAAAATATGGAATACGGTTGACATAGCAACCATTGTCAAGACGAGAACAAAATCAGCTCAACCTCTGATTCCGGCTAACCAAACAAGTAAGAACACTGAATTCAAGGGTAAACAGAACAGATCACAATGCCAAGACAGAAATCAATGAGTGCGGACATCGGAGTGCCGAGTTCAGACAACAATAGGCATCACAAGTGACAGGACTTGTGGTTCACCATCCGACATAGTACACTACTCAGTGTATCATTCCGATCCAAATCCCAGAATGGAACAAGTTACGCACGAGTTTTCTCCCTTTTACAACTCCTTAATCTGATATCTATTTACCCAAAATCACATATCGGATTCACAACGTTCCATTTGTGCATTAAGTAGATGTAGAGAATACTATTCGGAGCTTGTATTCACCTTAGTTAGGCAGAATAATGGTAACGCAAATTAAAGACATCAAGATAACACGTTGTCCCAGAAGCTTTGAAAGCAGTGAAAAACTAAAGTTCTTCCGGGAATCATCAGAGGCAAATAAACTGATGAGAAATCAACAGGCAGTTCGATGTATTGCCGAGACCGGTTTTAAGTACATTCTACATAAACTTGGCACATGGGAATATTAATGGTTCCACAAGTGTGCGGTTTTATCTCCGATTGAAAACTCACGACTGTTGGTCTTAATTAGCGGTTTAAAACCCAAATTTCTCTTGAATGAATAACTTGGATTTCATTTGATCCATCAAAACAAGCCACATGAATGTTGGTTGTCCCCAATACCTACTAGATATCGATAACTTTGTCCTGTAAATCTCCCATGGTTAGTCAAAACGTTTCGAAATTAATATAACTGAGTGAAGTATCACCGCTAGCCGATATTCTCTCTTGCCTTTTGCATAAGACAGACAAGTGAGCAAGCTGCATGGGAATGAAAAAAACTACAGATCACTCCTTCCAATGGAGCATCTTTTTTGCTCCATCGCTGACAGGAATCTTTTTTAAGATTTCAAAGATCAAAAGAAAACGAACATGCTGATCATGATGACGACAATCACAACACCAAGAAGATTTAACACGAAACACACACAAACAAACAAACGCCGTTGGGATAATCCCGTGGAACATACACATGCGAACAACAAGACAGACGGTGCATCACGTGCATCCAGAACACAACTGATCAACCTTAACACGTTTCATGGCCACAACGCGACCGGTTGGTTGATGTAAGGCACGCCAAACTGTGGCAAACTGGCCCTGTCCGACAGGCATTTGAATTGTATAGTTCTCTAGAGCACCATAACCGGCAGCAATTGCATCTGTCCGAGGCACCATTGGTCTCTGAGCTGGTGCACTGCGGGCACGTGTTATCGAGGCGCTGCGCCGATTTCGATGCATCGAAACAACAGTCTCGGAGTGGCTGAAACAGTGAAATTTTCAATGTACTGTAAATTATTGGCATATTTCAATGAGCTTTACCACATACGATTCTTTTGAATGGGTCTCCATTGCATGGCCCCTCTGCTTTCCATGTCGATCCCGATTCACAGAATAGTATTAACTGTACTTGCGGATGAATGACCAGTGTGATAAATACCAAAAGAATCTTACTGTACGGATTTTATACGCTTGACTAGCTTCATTGGACCAGATGGAGTAAAACGTTAAGATATGTTAAAGCAATTATTGAGGAAGAAGAAAAAGTGAGATATGCCTTCGGCGTGCTGTTGTCAGTAAGCAAGAAAATTGGGAACGACGCCTTCATCTTTACATGATATCCGCTGCTCCGGCCCGGTAAAAGCGTACAGAAAACTGTGCAACAGTCTATTGTTATGCACACGCAGCGGGTGCCTGAATCAATATATATCACCGGTTCATGAGCAAGCTTGGTACCAATGCAACAATAACAGAACATGAGGGTGGTATACCAAGGAGAATGAAAAGGGATTCAAGCAGTTCAGATAAATAAGGAGAATGATAGCTTGTTTGTTTGTTCCACGGTCCCCTTTTTGATATTTTTTGTGTTCTTATCTTTATTGTTGTTGCTCTCATCAATGGATTTTGTTTATTCATCCGCTAGTATTATCCCACCTGTACTCTTGATCTCGCAAACTGAAAGCATAACCGACCACACTATGGCACAGTATAAATAGCCCAGTAAATTCACTGAGAAATCACGGCAATGCAAGAGGTGTCTTAATCCAGAGATTACCACTGGAATCTTGGATAGGTAAGGGTTAACCTCTTTTAGCGCACTCCAAAGATCTAACACACTATAGCCCATTCAGAGAGATGCCACTAACACCATCCATTCCCGATTGCGGAGCAGCAAGCAGGGGCAATTGAAGATACAATGCTTCAACCAAAAAAGGGAAACAGAATTTGATTGTCCATTTATTATGCCTTTAAAGGAATCATCGATGAAAACAAAAATGATACTTGGGGAAAACCCGACTGATTTGCAAGCGGCCCTTAACTGCATCCAAAATACGTTTCGGATAACGATGTAAAAATGGACCCCGAAACAACAAAAACGTTCATGATGAACCCTGGCTAAACAGTACATACCCTGTTACTGAATGGACGACTTAAATTATCCTGTGCCCATCGTTCTGTCCAACAGGCAAGCGACAGATGAGATCAAGCGTCACACGGCACTAATGGCTTCTCTACAGTTCCAAACTACCCTCTGGCGCCTGAATAAGATCGGTTTCCAAACTGAACTCAATTGTTTTGCACAGCAGTCCACCTATTCGTATTGTGCGACTGTGAATCATGGATACTGAGGGCTGACGATACTAAACGATAGGAGTTCTTTGATGATTTATGCCTCAAATCCATCTTGAAGTTAAATCCGTCTGACAAAGGCCATAGTGATACCATTAGGGCCCGCTGTTGCATTGTGCGTCTAGTGATGAACATACAACATGATCGACTAGTTAGTGCGATACCTCCACCATCATCCTGAAGTTAATTCTACCAACAATGACCTAGGCTCGTTTACATAACCAAGCCGGTACCACAGACGAGAGGCGAACACGTAACCGAACTGGTATTCGAAGACGTGGATCAAGTTGGAATTCGTTGGCGAAAAATGAACCGGATATATATATATATGTATATATATATATATAATTAACGATCTCTCAGTCAACCAACAGTAGCCATAAGTTGCCATACTGAAACTGGTTCATCCTTCCCCAAGAAGTTATCCGTAGTAAAAACACGTGAAGTAAGCGAGTAACAGAACGAACCGTCGTTATTAACTCAAATTTATTATGTACTTACTTGCTGAATACAGATCTCCTGAAGTAAAGATGGGTTGCACAATGAATTATTTGATCATTTTTTGTGTTTTCAACCAAATTAGTGGCCAGCAACCATAACTGTCGATTCAGACCTTTCGGTGAATAAGAACGATATCTTAGCAGTCCTTTTAACAACTCCACCGAAAAATACAGGCAGCAGTCATTGTCTGCTAAGACTGAACGCCAATCAAGACAGGTTTCGCAAGAAAATTGTCGCTTTGCACTACATCGGAAGCGTCCCAGAAGACAGTACCTCATAGAAAAATGCTACATTGTCATTCAAGAGTGTCCATTGTATTGGGCTAGGCTATTAGAGTAAAACACTCGTGCGCTGACATGAGTTACGTTCTGTCTGCGCCCAATACGGAATCACGCCCGCGCGACACAGAGCTTACTGCAATGGACAGTTGCACACCTGCAAACAAACGCACGACATTAATGGTGTACCCAATTCGTGCTTCTGTCGATGCCACCAACTAGACATTAAAAGAATTATTTATCGGAACTTTGAGCACGGCTTTTCGTATGAATCTGTCCAAAGTGAGCTCCTTGAGAGTTTGCGTTAGATCGCAAAATTTATTAAAATGGAGAAATCAGCAGCTATGGAGAGGAATAACAATTGGGTTAGCGAACGCGCTCTTGATGATCAGTGTGAATTACTTGTCTTAACAATCATCATTTAACCTTAGAAACAAACACAGTAAACGTGAAAAATGAATACTTGCCGGTTGAGAAACCGCTCTTGGTCTCATCACCCTCAGAAGGATGACTATACTGACAATTATGGGTAACAATGTTTGCTTTCTATTTGAAGAGCTCCAAGACAGAGAACGTTGCAAGAAGAAGCTGAGAGGCGGTGTTATCTTTCACATGAAATTCAACTAGTGGGACAAGTTTAAAATTTTCTTCACGTATTCTCGAAAATGACATCAATTGCCTGACATTTATCTGCCCACCATAATTTTCCCATTTTCCGTTTATTGCCGTTACCAACGTTGTAGATATACTTTTAACCCCACTCTTCCTACACATGTTCACTGCAAGGGGAACTTCAGATGATTTTGGTGCCTCAGACAGAAATCCCGGTGAAGCCTTACGCCATTCTTGGACCCTAAAGTTATGACTTCTGGTTTTCCTGGTATTGGCGTGGCTCTCTGTGAAAAACTGCGCTGCTAGAATGGAGCCCAATCGACAGTCGATTATATGCAGTGATACTAAGAGGTTCGTGAGAAACAAGAAGCCGTCGCCTCGACGTTTCTATTTTCACACACGTCTGAGGCCAGACTATGTGCCAAACAAATCATGGTACAATGATCTTGATACAAAAAGTTCCGTGGTTTTCATGTGGACCGAATACTGCCAGCTTACCCTAGCGAAAACAGGTGAATTTTTTGGGGGAATGCACAACCGAAGCCTTTGATTGGCCAGAGTCTGATCCGCAAGACAGCGGGGCGGTTTGTGGAAACTGCAGTGTTCATTTCATCGGATCATACGCCTCTTGGATGGGGTCAGATGTCCAAGGTGCCCAATACACCTCGATGCCCACTCGAGGCTGCGACTAATGTCATAACCAAGAAGTTTTGTGTGTGTATAGGTGTCACCCAGATAGACGTAACTTATTTGTTGTGTCGATGTACGCTCCCACAGAACGCATCTCAGATGCAGTCAAAGATGACTTTTACCAAAAGCTATCCTGCATCTTGGATGGAGCAAGTCGGGTTGATATCGTAATCTTAGCAGGCGATGTCATCATCATCATTGTACAGCGAAACACAGTAAAGAGAACTTCATTGATCACTGCCAAACTCGCGAGGCGTACGAGGTTAGAGGTAAGATACAAGGTGGATAAGGATTGGACCTCTGTTGAGAGAGAGGGAAGGAGGTAAACCTCTATGGTCATCAAACAGAGTGCACAATCGAACTCTGCAAACGTACCGTTTCAAGCAATCTATTAATATGAGAAATCACAACAAGAACGCTACTGCTGTCGGTTTGCCGTCGTATCCTTCAATGTCTCCAATCAACCAGTTGCAGGGTCTTTCGGACTCCCACCGGGGAGGCGCGAGAAACCTACCCTACATAGTAATTCTGGACATTTCTGTATCCTCATCCCCACGTCATTTGTTGACCTTCATGTGATTTCCTTCAGCCTGAAGCGGATGTAGCGAATAAAGAGCGGTGTGGCAGACGACAGATGGGCATACGCAATACGTGTCCTAACCAGCGAAGTACACTAATCTGAATTCGATGAGCTAACAAGTTTATCCCAGACAAACTCCCGAAAACATGACGGCTTACCTCCAAATTACTAACTCTTACGTTCCAATCCACGTGGGCTAAACTATGTAAACACCGATGATCGAAAAATTCTAGTCAGTGGATATATTCTACTCGCAAATTCAGGGTCTCACAACCATAATGCAGAACTGAATTAACGGAAGCACAATGTACACGGCCTTTCAACTTCAGTGAAATGTCGGGTCTAAGCCAAAGGGATTTCAGTCCAGCGTATGCTACTTGAACGTTAGGACTGCAAGTTGTTAGTGTATCAAGTGCGGCTTGCGAGTCCTCTATACATTCGAACAGACAGACGATGTTATCGACGTACTCTAAATCGAACAGCTATCCTCCAACTACCACTTCCTGCGTTCTCCAGTATTTTGTCTGCGACGAAACTGAATAGAAACGGCGAAAGGGAGCACCCTTGAATAGTGCCGCTTCTGGTGACAAACGGCCTGCTTAGTTTGTTATAAATCCTCACTCGATCGGAGGTATGTGAGTTCAGTTCAGTTCAGTTTGTACAACCATTAACCACACATATTCGTGCGCCGGTTTTGGTTGCTGTCTTTTGGCTGCCCATTTGGATTGAAGAATAGGAGAAGAAAGGAAAGTTCAAAATGGAGTCGAACAGAAAATGGAGAATTTCAGTGAGTGCAGGGACCTCAATAAGTTAACGCACTTCTGAGGTATTCCTTTTCGAAGAAGGGAACCCATCAGAGCTTTGCGGTCAACTGAGTCAAAGGCTCCTTTCAATTCAAGGAACATCACGATCGTTGGTCGGCGGCGGGTGTGAAGCAGCTCAACAATTCG